TAGGATTGTAGGCTAGACAGCCTGTTGGATGGTATAGAAGAAGAATTTAATCAGTCTTAGCGACTGTGTAATTCAAGTGACATATGTAATGTCCCTAGCCGGATTGTAAATCATTTGTCATGGCGGACCTTTTCGCTTCGAACTCTGGACCCGATAGTCCGGAGTGTATCCGAATACCCGCTCGGTTATGTAAAAACCGGGGTATGCATGGAGACCAGGTGTAGGGGTCATAAGTGCTTGAACAGACAAGTACCCAACTAGTTATGTTATATTACATGGGTAGTAAGAACCATCTTCCAAGGAGAATAGTTCCGTTAAGGGTTCCTTTCCCTGGGTACGCATGCCCTAATGTGCATGTCCGAACTGCGAAAAGAGACGCAGGATATAAACATCTGGGGGCATGTTTCAAATTAGATAAAAGTCATCTTTTATTCACCGACCGAATATTCCCTTAAGAACGCTAGCTTTTGGCTTCACCCAGTCTGAGGTACACATCCGGCTGACCCGGCAGTAACAATCGCAGAGGTGCTCCCCTTATGCCCTAGCCGAATTATCGTGAACGTAGGGCATAAATACAAGAGCCAGGCAACCCAGCTTGGCCAAAACTTAAGTCATATCGATGCATATAATGGCGAAAAAAGGTACATGCGGAAGAATAACACATGTATGGGACGTAAAACCCAGGAAAATAGTTAGATTAAGCTTCTGTATAAGAAGCCCCCAGGTATAATGAGCGCGGTTAGCGCATCGAGATTGTGTAACCAGGACACAATTTTAGCCTTTAAGGGCCTTGAAGAGAGTAAAAAGGGAGAAAGAGAGAAAACAACAGATATGCAATAAATTGACGGAGGTAAGGAGACGAACATAGAGTCCGACGCTAGGCGTAGAATCTTCGGAGTCTGGCTGCATTCCATGGGTTTGGCTCGAGTCGATTATCCGATGCATCCCGCAGATGGTACGCTCCACCGGTCAGAACCTGGTCAATAATGAAGGGACCCTCCCATTTGGGCTTGAGCTTGTTCTTTTTCTTCTCTGGCAGGCGTAGAACTAGTTCGCCAACGTTATAGGTTTTGGCATGTACTTCTCTGCTTTGATACCTTCGAGCCTGTTGCTGATAGAATGCGGAATGGGCCTTTGCCACGTCGTGCTCCTCCTCCAGGGCGTCCAAACTGTCCTGCCGATCGAGCTCGGCCTCTTTTTCTTCGTACATGCACACTCGAGGTGAGTCATGAATTATGTCGCAAGGCAGAACCGCCTCTGCACCGTACACCATAAAGAACGGTGTGTATCCGGTAGTGCGATTCGGCGTGGTCCACAGCCCCCATAGTACGGAGCCGAGCTCCTCTACCCAGTGCGTGTTTGACTCCTTTAAGCACCACACTAATCTGGGTTTAATGCCGCTCATGATAAGATCATTCGCTCGCTCGACTTGACCGTTAGTTTGCGAGTGATAGACAGAAGCATAATCGAGCTTGATGCCCATGTTGCTTCACCAAAGTTTCACCTCGTTGGCTGTAAAGTTCGTGCCGTTGTCAGTGATGATGCCGTGGGGGACGCCATAACTGTGTACGACCCCGGATATGAAGTCTATCACCGGTCCGGATTCAGCTGTTTTGACAGGTTTGGCTTCTATCCATTTGGTGAATTTATCTACCATGACTAGTAAGTATTTTTCTTATGGGTTCCCCCTTTAAGGGGTCTGACCATATCAAGCCCCCAGATCGCGAAGGGCCAAGTAATGGGGATTGTTTGGAGAGCGGTAGGCGGCATATGGCTTTGGTTTGCAAAAAGCTGGCAACCGACGCAATGTTGGACCAGATGCTGCGCATCTGCCCGGGCCGTCGACCAATAGAAACCTGTACGGAAGGCCTTGCTTACAAGGGCACAGGCTGCGCCGTGATGGCCGCCGAGTCCGGCTTGGATTTCTGCCAAAACCTTCCGCCCTTCCTCTTCGGAGATACACCTTTGAAGGACTCCGGTAGTGCTTTTCTTATAAAGCTCTCCCTCATGGACCATGTAGGCTTTAGATCGCCGCACTATGCAGCGTGCCTCATTTTGGTCCTCGGGTAGTTCCTGCCTGGTTAGGTAGGCCAGGAATGGTTCTGTCTACGGGGCGATGACGACCATTATTACGTGGGCTGAAGGTGTTATTTCGATGGCAGAGCCTCCGATTGTGTCAGAGTGTTCGGTATCTGGGGTTGTGGCCGGGTCCGGACTATTGTTGCCGGTGTCCCCTTCCCATACCACAGATGGTTTAAATAGTTTTTCCAGGAAGATGTTAGGTGGGACAAGGTCGTGTTTTGCACCAATACGGGCGAGGATGTCCACCGCCTGGTTGTTTTCCCGAGCCACATGGTGAAATTCAAGCCCCTCGAACCGTAGTTGAACACTCTTGAAAGTAGTGTCGTAATTTCTGGGATGCCATGAATACCACGTATGCTATCTTTTGATAATGTGGGTACCATGATTTGCATGGAGTGAGGACGGTGGATACATAATATACCGGCTTTTGAAGTGGGAATTTATGTCCGCCCATCTCTCGTTTGACGATGAGTACTGCGCTTACAACTTGGTGAGTTGCCGCTATATATAATAGCATTGGTTCGCCAACATTTGGCGCGGCCAAGATTGGGTTGGTGGCCAGGATGGCTTTTATTTCTTCCAGTCCGGCCGTGGCTGCGTCCGTCCACTCGAAGTGTTCAGTGCGCCGAAGAAGGCGATAAAGTGGGAGTGCCTTTTCTCCTAGTCGGGAGATAAAGTGGCTTAAAGCCGCCACACATCCAGTTAACTACTTGATTTGCTTGAGGTCAGTTGGGATAGCCAATTGCGATAGAGCCCGAATTTTGGCCGGATTTGCTTCAATTCCTCTGCTGGGGACGATAAAGCCCAGGAGCTTTCCGGCGGGTACGCCGAAAACGCATTTTTCCGGATTGAGCTTAATGTCGTATGTCCGGAGCGAACGTGAGCCTCAAGTCGTCTGTTAAGGAGTCGACGTGTCTAGTTTTAATGACCACATCGTCGATGTATGTGTCCATTGTTTTGCCGATCTGCTTTTCCAGACATGTCTGAATCATGCGCTGATACGTTGTGCCGGCGTTTTTGAGCCCGAAGGGCATTGTGTTAAAACAGAAGGGGCCGTATGGAGTGATGAATGCCGTTGCGGCTTAGTCGAACTCCGCCATCTTAATTTGGTGGTAACCGGAGTATGCATCGAGGAAGCACAATGAGTCGTGTCCTACGGTAGCGTCGATAATTTGATCGATGCGAGGGAGGGGGAAGGGATCCTTTGGGCAAGCCTTATTAAGATCCTTGAAGTCGACGCATAGGCGCCAGGATTTGTCCTTCTTTGGCACCATCACCAGGTTTGCTAGCCAGTCTGGATGCTTTATTTCTCTAATGAATCCAGCCTCCAGTAATTTGGCTAGTTCCTCTCCCATGGCTTGTCGCTTAGGTTTGGAGAAACGCCGAAGAGTCTGCTTGACCGGCCTGAATCCTTTTAGAATGTTAAGGCTATGCTCGGCCAGCCTGCGTGGGATTCCTGGCATGTCTGAAGGATGCCAGGCGAATATGTCCCAATTATCGCACAGGAACTCCCATAGTGCAGCGTCTATGGCGGGGTTTAACTGTGCCCCAATGGACGCTGTTTTTGTGGGGTCCATTGGATGGACTTGGAATTTGACTATTTCATCCGCTGGTTTGAAGGAGGTGGACTTGGATCTTTTGTCTAGTATCACGTTGTCCCTATCCACTCTGGAGCGCAGCACGGTTAACTCCTCCGCCACAAGGGCTTCGGATAATGCCTCGAGGGTCAGTGCAGATGTTTTGTTCTCGGCGCGGAGTGCTATGTCCAGATCACTAGCTAGAGTGATGATTCCATTGGGTCCGGGCATTTTGAGCTTCATGTACCCGTAATGGGGTATGGCTTGAAAAATCGTGAATGCCTCCCGCCCTACACTCCAAAAAAAATACACTTCCGTGATGATACGTGTTTGTCACAGTAGGTCGCTTTTTTTGTCATGCATGTACATCCATGACAAATTTATGATAGAATCAAGATAGTCATACCTGTGCTGTCGTAGAAGTGTTCCATGACATTACCAAAATTATCATCACAGAAGTGTCCACTTCCATGACGATAAATCGCGCGTCACAGAAGTGCTTTCGTCAAGGGTGACCCACACGTGGCATCCACCGTAACGGAACGCTGTTAAGCTATCGGGTCGGGTTTTGGACCCGATAACCCGTTAACAGCCCCGACCAATGGGGATTTTCCATGTGTAAAATCATCATTGGCTGGAGGAAACACGTGTCAGCTCATCATTGGGACAGATGTCAACCACTCATTGGACGGAAAGGCGCCTATGATATGTCGACATGTGGCACGGCCCAACAGAGGCCCATTCCTGTGAAAAGGCTGGCCTATTTGACTTGGTCAAAAGCTGTTGGGCCGGCCCATGGAAAGCCTGTTAACGACCTGTTCAAATATAGCCCATTTACAGCCCGCTAACCCAAGGCCCGTTACACCCTATCCGAATTAGGCCCAGTAGCGTCATCTGGGCCATCCAATATGATTCCAGCCCGTTTTCACTTCTGGCCCATGTATGGCCCATGACGTCTTTCGGCCCATATGAGGCCCTATGTAACTCTTTGCCTACTAACGGCCCGTGGTGAAACTGGCCCGTAATGAACAGTGTATCACTTTACACCCATTAATGGCCCGTGGTGAAACTGGCCCGTAATGAACAGTGTATCACTTTATACCCATTAACGACCCGTTATTCCGTTGGGCCGTTTCCAGCCCATGTTATCTTTCGGCCTTCTCAGAGCCCATTTATTCTTGGGCTCATTTCCAGCATTCGTTTACTTACGGCCCGTTACTGTTATTTTCTGCTTGTGGGCCAAATTCAGCCCGTGGTTACAGTCGGCCCGTTTGTGGTCCGTTAATACGTTGGGCCGATTTCATAGCGTCATCAAATACGGCCTATTAACGATGGCCCGTTATGGTCGATGAAGCGCTTCGTTCCTATCTGGACCATATTCACGCAATCGATTCTTTCACTGTTCTCCAAGCGTCTTATCAAGATCTGCGGGAGAATGAGGGAGGATCCGTTTTCTTTCGAAATGCTGTTTCCCACAACTGGGATCTCCTTGAGGCGGAAAGCTCCGCAAGGAGGTGCCTGGAAGTGGAACAGAGTATCCGGTGGGAAGAAATCCCCAAGAGCAAGGCAAGTCTCAAAAGAGTTGAGCATGAGCATGCTCTCGACTTGTTTAAGTCGGAGGATCTTAGAAGGGAATTAGAAACAAAAGAGCGGGGTAGCTCAATAATTCTGATTCTTTTCTCTTCCAGCCCCCCGGCCCCTCTTTGATAAGGAAAGTTTTCATTTCTCAAATCAAAAATGACAAATATGGTTCGATGGCTCTTCTCTACTAACCACAAGGATATTGGGACTCTCTATTTCATCTTCGGTGCCATTGCAGGAGTGATGGGCACATGCTTCTCCGTACTGATTCGTATGGAATTAGCCCGACCCGGTGATCAAATTCTTGGTGGGAATCATCAACTTTATAATGTTTTAATAACGGCTCATGCTTTTTTAATGATCTTTTTTATGGTTATGCCGGCGATGATAGGTGGATTTGGTAATTGGTTTGTTCCGATTCTGATAGGTGCACCTGACATGGCATTTCCATGATTAAATAATATATCATTCTGGTTGTTGCCACCAAGTCTCTTGCTCCTATTAAGCTCAGCCTTAGTAGAAGTGGGTAGCGGCACTGGGTGGACAGTCTATCCGCCCTTAAGTGGTATTACCAGCCATTCTGGAGGAGCAGTTGATTTAGCAATTTTTAGTCTTCATCTATCAGGTATTTCATCAATTTTAGGTTCTATCAATTTTATAACAACTATCTTCAACATGCATGGACCTGGAATGACTATGCACAGATTACCACTTTTTGTGTGGTCCGTTCTAGTGACAGCATTCCTACTTTTATTATCACTTCCGGTACTGGCGGGGGCAATTACAATGTTATTAACTGATCGAAACTTTAATACAACCTTTTTTGATCCTGCAGGAGGGGGAGACCCAATATTATACCAGCATCTCTTTTGGTTCTTCGGTCATCCAGAGGTGTATATTCTCATTCTGCCTAGATTTGGTATTATTAGTCATATCGTATCGACCTTTTCAAGAAAACCGGTCTTCGGGTATTTAGGCATGGTTTATGCCATGATAAGTATAGGTGTTCTTGGATTTCTAGTTTGGGCTCATCATATGTTTACTATGGGCTTAGACGTTGATACGCGTGCCTACTTCACCGCAGCTACCATGATCATAGCTGTGCCCACAGGAATCAAAATCTTTAGTTGGATCGCTACCATGTGGGGAGGTTCGATACAATACAAAACACCCATGTTATTTGCTGTAGGGTTCATCTTTTTGTTCACCATAGGAGGGTCCACTGGAATAGTTCTAGCAAACTCTGGGCTAGACATTGCTCTACATGATACTTATTATGTGGTTGCACATTTCCATTATGTACTTTCTATGGGAGCCATTTTTGCTTTATTTGCTGGATTTTACTATTGGGTGGGTAAAATCTTTGGTCGGACATATCCTGAAACTTTATGCCAAATCCATTTTTGGATCACTTTTTTCGGGGTTAATATGACCTTCTTTCCCATGCATTTCTTAGGGCTTTCGGGTATGCCATGTCGCATTCCAGATTATCCAGATTCTTACGCCGGATGGAATGCTCTGAGCAGTTTCGTTTCTTATATATCCGCAGTTGGGATTCGTCGTTTCTTCGTAGTTGTCGCAATCACTTCAAGCAGTGGAAAGAACCAAAAATATGCGGAAAGTCCTTTGGCTGTTGAACAGAATCCAACCACACTAGAATGGTTGGTACAAAGCCCTCTGGCCTTTCATACTTTTGGAGAGCTTCCTGCGGTAAAAGAGACAAAAAGCTAGGCGCATATGCGTCCTAACTATTGCCCCTTTCTTTATTATAAAAGATCTATTTTGAGCTATTAAATAAAAGTTGAGTTAAACAATACTAGTCTTAGAGAGGAAGTTAAGAAAAAGCTATGGAAAATATGACCCCCTAAACTTCATTATTAATGAACCCTACTTTGGTAAAAACATGTGTGGAATATTGTATCAAAGATCCAGAATCTAGGAATGATATGCTGCCCATGTTCCATAGAAAGATCAATCTCCTCAATAAATGTTATTATAACTATGCGAAATTCGTAGGCAATAAACTCGAAGATGCATAATGGACCTAATAATTAAATAGATTACATTATCGCGATGTTTGCTAAAGATATCAGCTCGGTTGACTACTGTATACACCACAAATGTTATTGTTTGAAGTATTTCCAATAAAGAAAACAATAAGAAACAATCTATCAATTTCCATAATCACACCTATCATATGGAAGATGAGAAAACATTGACTTTGTAGTGTAGTGTTCATAAAGTGATCACGAGGCCACCGATACCATATGTGGATACGTGGGATAGAAGAGTGGGCATGTGGGCTTCTATCAAAAGATACCGCTATCGCTACGCTCATATACGTCAAGGAAAGGAAGGGAGCGAAAAGATACGTTAATGTTTCCACCTACTCTCTTTTATAGCACAGGGGTGAGTTAAGTATAGGGATGATCCACTCGTCATAAATAGCGGCACATTAGAACATTATCTACATGTTTCCTTTTCTTGCTTCATGACACATGCCTATTGTATAACATACCTACCAGGAGAAAAGTACCAGTTTGTGAACATGCCATTCCCTTTCTTCGTGCACTCATTTACTAGATAGTCAGGAACCTTCTTTTGACTTGACCAGCTTACTTTACTAGTAGAGTAGTAGGCCTTTGCTTCTGAACGACCTTACAAAATGGATCAACTAGAAATGAATCGGTGTCATAACCGAATTTCGCTAACCGTAGTAGTAAATAGCGTGACACCAAGCAATCAATCAAAGCCAACTCCAGTTGTATGGAAGGTGGATAGTCGAATTACCCAACTGAAATGAAGAAAGCAATCCGCATAGCCAGTGTCCAGTTGGATAGTTCAGGCTACGGAAGAAGACATGATGCCATTTCTCTTATCGATACAGGAAAATGAGCTATTAGTAGAAACTACCTGGAATTGCCGTGAACCATCCGAGAGTAACCGCGCACCCGAGGTGTTCAAAGCCCCTTAGCAATGGGAATGGAATACTTTATTAATAGAGCGTTTGTGAAAGGAAATTCCTGAAATGATGTATCATCGAAATGGTTCATTTCAAAATGTTACCGCATCACCGGTAGGATTTCCAGCTTTCTCGATGGTAGGTTTAGGAATTTTTCTAGCGAAGGAAGGGACCAAGGAAGGAATTCGTAGCCCAGAACCTTAAGCAGGAGCTCATAACGTATACGAATGGAAAGATTCCAGCAATTTTTTTCCTACCCCAATAGTAAGTATCGGAAAAAGGACTCCTTCTTGAAAGAGATAGGCAGTCATCACATTATCTACTTGATTATGATATGGATTTGGATCCAACGGATAATGCAAATCGAAAAATCAAGCCCCCCTATAAATGAAATAAATGAAGGTGAAAGTTCAGTACGAACTGGTAGAGCGAGAGCAGCCAGTTTAGAAGGAAAAATAAAAAGGGCGCCTACTCAGTGGTAAGTTAGGTCATTCCTTTCTGGCTATCAGAAAAGAGTATGATCGAGGGTCCCATAAGGCAAAGGGAAGGTGCTCCCCCGACCTACTACCCTCGGAGAGATTCCTACAGTTTTCTTTTTAAAAATAATACATAGGTGGGAAAGTGGTATGAATATGGGGTTCGAAGTCGCCTAAAAGAACCTTTCTCATTCGCAAAGCTAAACAAAGTAGAGAAAAGGGGGTCATCCCATTGGCCAGACTGAGCATCAAGCCAGCCAAGAAGTCAAAGCGAAGAAGGAGTGACTTGCATGAGTCAACACTTACTACTCAGGTCCGGTATGTATATCTCAAATTTGAATATAGAAATGTTAATGTTATGATTTCAGTATTGTTGAAACTGGCTTTCACATGAATAACCATTTCGTTATTCTACGTGCACTCTTCCATAAACTAAAACGGGCATTCCTACGCAAACTAATAGCCACATTCTTATGTGAACCTATTTTTGGTATAGCTTTGCTAATCTTTGATGGCCATCTGTACTTGTGAAAAGAGATAGAGCCGTCTCGCGCATCACTGCTTACTTGTGATCTAGATCTGCATCCTGATAAGGTGCATCCCGTTAAATGATCTTATGTAAAACTTATCACCACAGATAATAAACAGGGCAGAGTTTTTAAAAGTACAACTCGATCTTTCACCTCAGCTTATGGTGGTGACTCTACCTATTTAGGAATTTCTATATGTTATCATACCTTTTAGGATCATAACCATCCTCATCTTGTAAAGTTTCTATGGCGAAAACTGTAGGCGGGTGACCCTGACGATTGCACCAAGACTGGTATCAGAGTCCCTCGGTAATCAAAATCATAGAGGCCAAAGTTGCTAATGTGTGTGCAAAAGAAGAGCTATAGGAAGTAGCAAGGAATCCCACATGAACCATAAGCTAGAATACTGGTATCAAGAGATGTTATTACAGGTACAACCCTATTTTCGTCACTGTATAGAGGCATTCGAGGTTTCATAGACAAAGGTTAGATAGATGGAAAAAATCTAGGTTAGATAGTAAGAACTTGGTAATTGAGGGTTGGCCAAAACAGGATCTATGGTTCGGTTGCTTTTCTTCTCCTGATTTTCTGATCCAAATCCTATTTCATTGATTTTCTGACTGGAATTCTAGAGGGAAAACTAGGAGAAATTGACTGGAAATGATTATCCCATTTCTTGCTTTCCCAACCGGAACAACAAACTAGTAGGAAAGGATTTGTTATTTTGGAGTTCTGTCCCAACCTTCATTCAATTATCCGGGCTCCCCTTCGGCTTGAAGAAGACCGCTTTCCCTTTATTTTCTTCCCTGGAACCCAGCATAAGTTATAGGGCACCCCGAGGGTAGACCCAAAAATTTGTCAATCTATACATAGCATAAGTTATAGGTCGGCTAGGTCAATCAGTGGAGGGAAGGCCGAAGTAGTTCTGGTTTCGGAAATCAAGGCAGATAAGCTATGGTGTCCTATAATCCTCTCCCCTGAAGGGTTGTTAGATTACCAAGTCTGCAAGGAATGGGAAATAGGACCTTTAAATCAATGCAAGTAAGGGCTGATTAACCTAAAGAAAAGAGTGCATGCATCAGAAAACACTTTTATTTGATTCTAATTCTCGTATCAATAAGATCATATCGGGATCCATCTATGAAAGATCTCTATTGCATCAATAAAACAATATATATATATATATATATATATATCTTTTTGGTATAGAAAGTTCCAGCCAATTCCAATAGCTTGTGATAGAGTCAAGGGTGCGATTACCCTGGAATTTCAGCTCACACTTTCGGAAAGCTCAATAGTATCGTATTCCGCTCGTATGCTCTCGTTATGTAATAGAATACCTTTTACCGTTCATCAAGTGAACGTAGCCCTTTCGTAGTCTATGCCCCTTTATTCTTAAGTGGGGGAATCCCCTGAAAGCCGGTGATCGAGTGAGTTTTTTCCAGGAAACTATTTCTTTAGGGCTTAAATGCGCGGCTTGTCGGCTATGAAAAGTATACCTTTCCTTTCCCACCTGTTTTCGGTGCCTTCTTTATGCTCTTTCCTAAGGAAGCAAGAGGAAGAGTGAGGGTCGACAGGCAAAGAATGGCTTGTGTGAAAGCTGGAGTGGCACAAGACAGATTGAAAGCAAAGGGAATAGCTCATATGGAAAGAAACATATATAGTCAATGAAATTCTAAAGATAGCCGTAATAAGCGATATGATAAAAGATTCAGAATGAATGAATAGAATCTAATAACATCGGGTTCCCGTGAAAAAATGGGATTGGGGGAGTAGTTCCCCTCTAGCCAATCCTAAAAGTTCTTCTGCCTTTGATCCCGTGGTAAGCCTTTCAAGTTTCCATCCAGTAGACAAGAAATTCAGTAAGTAATAGAAATGGGATAGCCATCATAAAAGGAAAATCTCAATCAGTACTTCTTTTTTGGAAAGCGAGGTTGAGTTATATGAAACTAAGGAAGAAGATTAAAAGACGTTCACGTTACCAATTCCGTCTCGTCTGATCTTTTATTGGTTTTGTTTTTTCTCTTGTGCCCTTCTGGGCGGTACAAAGAACTGATGTAGGGGTTGCCGCTCCTTAGTTCATCTCTCGGTAGAACAAGGCACCTATGCGGTGGGTTCGACTCCCACAGGAGCGTACATTTCCAATCGATTTGCTACTTTTCTTGATTCAGAGTTCTTGCTGTCCATTACGGATTCTTTAGCGATGTAAAGCCATCAAGCAGTAGACCAGCAAAGGTTTTTTTGTCTCAGTATTCATTCTTGAATCAGTGACTGAGAGTAAGGGCTAGTGATCCATCTAATCACTAAAGGTGGGGCATCTTTCTTTTCGTAGTAAGCAACTCTATTGAGAATCTAGTTTCTTGATCGAAGTAAAGAAGAATTGTAGTTCCTCTTTAGGTGAGCTACTTCGTTCCTATTCTCCGATTCTGAATAGGAGAAGGTTGTAATGAACCCAAAATACTTCGCTAAGGTTCAACCGTTTCGCTATGGTTTTCTTCCAATTTCTTCTAAGCAATTCTGATCAACAGAAAAAAATCTAAGCGAAGGCACCTTTCTCTGTATGGAAAAGGAAGAAGATGCTGCTTCGGCTTCCGTTTCTAGCTCTGCTTGAGCTGCTTCGTCTGTTTCTCTTGATGTGGGTGTCGGTCTTTTGAGATCTCTTCTCTCACTTTCGGAGCACAGTTGGTCCTCAATTTGAAAACTGACAAAGGTGACTTCTTCCTTATTCACGCCTTGATGCACCTTTTTTCGTGTTCAATCTCG